TTGATGCCCCACTGGAGTTAGTGAATGTCGTGATCAAGTCTATCGTACTTGTTGCAGTGATCGTACTACCAACTGTCGTCCTTGAATAAGTGCATACTCTCAAGAGCATCTAAGAAGCTGGATTTGAGATACTGTACCAGCTTATTCTGCCGACTGTAGGACGACAACAATCCAACTGTACTTGGATAACTGCAAGAGATCGAGTAGCTTCTCAAGTTCAAAGAGTACTTTTGCAGTTTCACAAGATTGTATTACATGTCCGACAATTAGTTTGATCTGCCGTACTTGTCTGCGGCTCAAACACAGGATTTTAGAGACATTTCTTTTTCCTACTTTTGCGATGGGTAGCAGAATTGATCCTACTGTACAAGTTGTCGGTGGCATCTCAAAGCTCACTAGTGATGCAGATTGGCAGCTCTGGAAGTTCTAGATTAAGATTGTGTTTGCAGCCAATAAGGTGATGGGTGTTGTTGATGGTAGTGAGAAGCAACCAGCAGCATATGCAACATTGGCATCTGAATTATCATCAAATGCCGCATTGACCCTTGTTGCTGCTAACACCGCGATTGCAGAATGGAAGGAGAAGAATGATTGAGCACGCATGCTATTGTGTGCAGCCATTGATGGAAAGATATTGAAGAAGTTGATAAATTGCATGACGGCATTTAAGAAGTGGAGTAGATTATTTTCACTCTATGAGAGTCATGCGGCAGATAACAAGCACCTACTGCAAGCACAGTTTTTCAGTACCGGATGAACCCCAAACACGAAATCGTGACTCATATCAGTGTGATCGGGGCAATAGCCAACCAGTTGAATGTGTTGGGTGAGACTACAAACCAGTCCGCGTTCTTAACCAAGATCATCTACACTATACCATCAGAGTACAAGTATGTCCTATCAACATGGGACAATGTACTAGCCGCCGAACAGATAATTGTCAAGCTACAGTCGAGACTTCTTAAAGATGAGTTGTTGAGCTCTAAGCGAGCAGGGCCAATGATGGCGACTCACATGCCCTATACAGTTGCAGCAAGAAGGGCGGTCATGGAATTGATCGTAGATGGATTGCCAGCAAAATTTGCTGAACCATCCGACTTGTTTTGCAAGGGTTGTGTTCTTGGGAAGCAACATCAGATACCATTTGACAATACACACACATCAACGATTTCAACAACCAGGAGAGATGTTCCACAAAGATTTGTGTATGACGAACCAAGTTTTGTTAGAAGGAGCAAAGTGTTTTGTGTAGTTCAAATATGACTGCAGAATCTACCGTTTCATTTACTTCATCAAGAACAAGTCTGACACCCTTAGATGCTTTAAGCAGCTGCAGAAGGAGGTGTTTTTACAAAGATCAGAAAGCTTAGGAATGATTGAGGTGGTGAGTTCATAAGCAACCTATATGAAGCGGGAATTTGACATGAAGTTTCCGCCCCACACTCCCCGCAACAATTTGGTCTTGTTGAGCTTGAGAACCACACTGTTTCAGAGTGCATGAGGACATTGCTGTGGTCGGCAGGATTGGTAGATGCTTTGTGGGCAGAGACTGGAAAAAAAAAACCATCTGTTGCTCATCTAAGCACGTTTAGTTGTGATGTCTATGCCCTAATTCTAAAACAGTTGCGGAAGAAGCTGGATGCAAAGAGTAAAAAGTTCACCTTTCATTGGCTACTGTCAGTATGCACGCACCTATAAGTTGTGAGATTTTGTAAACCAGAAGGTAAGGGAGTATAGGGAAGTAAACTTCCATGAATGCTTCCCTCTTGCAAGCCTTGACACAATAGTGTTTCCATATCCCTCTTGACAGTTTGAAGCAATATATGGCCTTAGAGCACTACGGTGCGAGTGGGTCTACAAGACCAAGCTCAAGGCAGATGGGACGGTTGCTCGCAACAAGGTGAGGTTGGTAGCAAAGGGTTTCTTGCAAGTACCCGACATCAACTTCAACGAGACTTAGTCACCAGTTGAGAGGTTTGAATATGTGCGGACAGTTCTCTCTATTGCAACAACAGAAGATATTACGAGAATGCAGTTTGATGCGAAGACAGCCTTCATCAAATCTGGGTAGGACGAGGTCATCTTCATGAAACAGCTGGAAGGATATGCGAAGAAGAGAGAAGAGAAGTTAGTATGCTTATTGCAGCAGGCTTTCTACGGCCTCTATCAATAATCACGTATTTGGAATCTGACGTTCAGAGTTGCTGGAAGTATATCAGCTTACACCTACCACAGCTGATCCATGTGTTTTCATGCAGAAGATCCTAATTGCAGTTTTTGTAGATAATGGTCTGTGTGTTATCGCGACAAGAAGACGATAGAAGATATGACGAGCTACCTCAACTAGCATTTGGAGGTGACGTTTGGTGATGCTGAATACTATGTCGGTCTTCATATCATTAGATATCGCAAGAAGCGGTGCTTGCGTTTGAGCTAGAGCCGCTACATCGAAGAAGTGGCAAGATGTTTTGGCATGGCTGACTCTCTCACCCGATCTCCACAGCAATGGACCCTAATTTTCCATTTAGAGCAATTGGAGATGGGAAGAAGAAAGGCATGGAGGATGTAGCATGTCAGGAGGCGATTGGATCCGTGATGTGGGCAATGAGGGGAACTAGGTTTGGCATTGCATATTTTGTGAGTATGTTGGCCATTTACAACCTGAATCCGGGTCGTGAACACTGCCATGCAGTTAAGCGGTTGATTTGGTATATGGGCTGTACTGCAGATTATGTGATGTACTGCGGTTCTAATGATAGTCAGCACATATTAGAGGGATATTGTGATTCTGACTAAGCAGCAGACATGGACACGAGGAGATCCTGTAGTGGATACGGAATCGAGCATCGAGGTGCGCGTTTGAGCCTGACATTGTTTTCTTGTTACTTGCGCATTCGTCCGATCATTCCCGTCAGCGAGAGCTTCTAGTAGATGTTCGCAGTTGAGCGGGCCTATGACATTTGATCATTTTTCTTCCCGTCTCATGCACTACGAGATGCTGAATTGAGCTTGGTGATATACATTCATTCATCGAGTTGGAGGAAGAGGAACATTATTTCGAGGTTCCCTGAACCATCCGCTGCGTCATGGTTTGATATTGCGGACTGCCACTCCGGTGCATGGAGATAATTACAGGATTATTAGAGTCAAGTGTCATGGCCTAGTCATTGAGAGTCAGTTAGCTCATGCTTTGATCCATTCTGTGCTCCCTTGGCAACGGGCGTCACGATTTTTTTGTTTATATCGGAGTGACTGGCATTCAAGCATGAGCAACACTTGCAGTCGGAGTTGTAGCTGTGTTGTGAGATTGAACGGGCTGCAGATCCATTTCTATTGATATCAATGCACTTCCACAAATTTTGGGCTCTGTTCCAGGCTCGGAGTTGGAACTCAGTTGAAGTGAACACGGTGTCGAATTCACTATATGCAGCCTGTCTCAAGACATTTGGGCGGCATTCAGGAGCGATTACAAAATGCCGTGCAAGAGCATCGGAACGTCATCATAGACCTCTTCGTCCAGTAATAACTAATCACACCTGCCATCACATATTACTAATTTCTGTCGAGATCGACTTAACGTCAACCATTTCTATGATCACAATATGATCACTCCATTTCCTAGTTTATAAGTGTCGAGGATTTGTTACAGGTATGTCAAACGCTTTTTCCTTCAGCCGTGTCACCTTCTCGACATACGAAGCAGCCTCACCAAAGCAGACAGGGTATTCCAACTCTTTGACAACTATTAGGGGAGTCTTCTTAGAAAAGCTTTAACAAATGCTAGTTTGAAGCTCGGTCGTTCGGCCTGAAACTCATGATCTCACGCAAAACACGAGGCGATTGTGCTGTCAATTGGTGTTGAATTTTCGGTGCATCCGTGGCCTGGAATCTAGGAGTGCGTGCGCATCAATGTGAAGGAGCTCTCCGTTACGTACAATTCAAAGTACCGCTCGCAAATGGCACCGAGTACGATTACCTCCTACTTCACAACTTTAATTTGTTTCCTGTCTTTTGTTTCTATTCTAGAGGAAAATTTGCTACTTGACGAACAATGCTCACAAATCACTTTTAAATTTGCAAGAGCTACTCATGCCAGAACTGAACATGGAGCCTTCTAATGCCAATTCTCATGCGCACCGACCATCCTCGATCGAACACGGTGTCGAATCCTTGAACCGGCACTAATATTCGAAGCAGTTTCAAATAGAGTCATTGTTCTGATTTCTCCGAATGCGTACATTCCGTGGAAAGGTACAAGCATCTAGCTTTGAAATAAAGGCTTGTACGAATCTGAAGCTAATATGCAATGATCCTTTCATGCGAACTGACATCCTTAACGTGCAACATCCTTTCAATTATTCAAACGGACCTTGTGATGAACAATGCAATAGGCTAATACAAGTTCACACGAAATGTGGCTATGAGTGCATTCAAGGAAAGACGGTGGCTCTGTCAAATGTCTTGATGTGAAGACGCAGCAGGCCCAGTAGGAGTCTCACACTGTGGAAGCCTCTGTTGGGTGTTCGATTACCAGCATCAGAAATCACCAAAGCAATCTGCGCTTCGAAAGTCCTGCTGTGCACTAACTGCAGTTATGGAGTCACATGTGACGGCTGAATCAGTGCAACGTGGAGAGGTTTTCTGGGAACAGGACATGCATTGCAAGAACAATTAATTTTTACTCATTGATTACTTTTCTTTTTGTCTTTTTCTTTCAGTGGTATTTTCACAACTCTTCCCTCGACAGAATTGGGTTATTTGTTCCACTCTTGTTGATGGTTGAAATCAAGAGTCGAGATTGCTCAGGGTTGCATTCAAGACAGATCACTTGCACTGCAAGTATGAGATGAACATCACGCATGAAGGAAACTCAGCATGACAATATAAGCCAATTCCTTCACTCACTACTTGCTATGTGATTGACCAAATTATTAGTTCAGATAGATTGTGAATCAGGGATGAACAAACACAATTAATTATATTATTCTCCTAACGATTCTCCAAAAACATTTTTTTTCTGAATAAGGCAGATGCCTTAAATTAGAGGCAGCACACAACGCTGCAAACAAATTCCTGCACTACTTTCTAAACGATGCTGGAAATTATGAACGATGTCGTCGAACGTTAGTTCCCGTTCTTACACCTGCAGAGAAACAGAGGCTACGGCCCAGAGGCTCCATATTAGGGTTTCAGTGGCGCAATGGTGAAGGTGCAATTGCAGTAGTTGGGGTTCCAACGTTAACGATGAATGGTGAGGAATCGGTGAGAGCGAGTCAGGAAGCTGTTGAATCGCGATGGCGTTGAGCAATTTTCTGTTGACGGTGGCGGCAGTAGGGGCTGGATTTGTCCTGCTTTCAAGAGATGTGCGCCGATCCGCTGTGAATCTCCGGAGAAATCTTAAGCATGTGCGCACCTGGCTTGAGCAGGAACAAGCCTCCTTTGGTTCTGCGTCCAAGTAACATGCCTCTGCTTCACTCTCGATTGTTTTGACAAATTTGTTTGCCTTCTTGCAATTGGTATGCGCATCGTATACTCGGAGACATTGATCGCCGTGTATCCTTGACGTGGTGCATTTTTATCCAATTTCTGCAACTTGCTAGTTACCCCGCATGCTTGACTTTGACTATTGTAGTTGTGTACTGAAATCCTAGGTTTCCATGTGCATGCAGACATGCAAAACCCAAGGGAGGTTGAAGCAGGAAAGTCTGAAAAGCTCACCACGAAAGAGGAGAAGCATTAAGTGTACTCAGTGTGTTTTTAGGGAATAATGTATCGGAGTACTCTACTTGTGTATCTAGGGCTGTCTACTTTATTCCACCATTACGGTATTAAATTATAGGTCTCTTTGTGAGATATTGAAGTGGTAAGTCTTGAGGTTTCCGAATTCTTTTTAATTCTATTCACACATGCAGATGATCTCCAGGTTTTAGTTAAGTCCATCCGACAACCAGCGTCTTGGCGAATTTTTTAATCTGCCAATGAGTGTGGGGGATTAGAGGCGTTATTAGAGGCTGAAAGCTCAATTGCAGTTTGTCTAGAACTAGCCTGTTCTTTATATCGACTAGGGTGTGATGACAGGAAAGTCAATGTTGGTGCAAGCTCTCAGAATTAATCAATGTTGTGGAAACTTTGAAAGTAAAGACATTCTGTCAACTCTTTTGCGTGTACTGTGATTGTGGTGATTGTCTACGGGTGCAAACGACCTATCTCTTGTAAATCATTCAGTTATTGTGCTCTCACGACAAATCGATACTATGCTCGTATTAATTTCTGTATTATATTGTCCTCATTTTTATAGGTATTCGGAAACGATTTGATTTTGTGTGACCAGGAAAACGCCATGCCTAGGCGTTGGTACGGATTCGTGTCATATATTACATTATGTTCTCGAACGTTTCTTCGTTGTCAGTTGTGCATGGGTTTTTCAGTAAACTTCTATTTTGCAGTACACGATCGTGTATGTGGTGCTGTCAGTTTAGTGAAGAAATGTTCTTGATGGTCAAGGCAGTCAAATCTGTCTACGTTACAGCGACAGTAATATTCTGTACAAATTCGAATGTTGTTTTTGGTCTATGGCCAGGATTTTCTTGACCACGTGAGTCTCATGGAGATTGCAGAGTAGGAGCTTTAACCGTTCAAAGGTGGAGAGTATTTGCAGTTTTTGGTATCAATAGTGTCAGAAGACCCAGCAGGTACCTGAGTATAAAATGCACTAGATTCTGGTTTCCGTTGCCCCATCTAAGACAGGTGGTTGCTTCAGCAAAGTAATGGAAGCCACGTTGCTGTAACTTTGTACTATAGGTTTTCAGACACCCATGCCTGGCTTCCCCACTGGATTCGCTTTACTTTTGTATGCTCCTTGTTTGGGATAGTAGACATATTCCTTGCATGCCATTAATGTTGAGAGGGTTCAGTGTCATGTGGTCTGAGTCCCAGGGGACTGGCAATTGGTTAGAATATTGGAAGCTACACCGCTCTCAGAATTTTCAATAGCCTTATCAAGTTCCAGCATCATTCAGTGATCAGTAAGGAGACTGTACTATGTGCCGTCGTGAACAAGGATGCAAACAGTTGGGATAACATTACTTGTTAGGATGGAACTCATCGAACTGGAGCTGGCTTGATGCATTGAAAAATACACAAGCTGTTATCCTCCCAGTGAAATGTTCTCACTCTACTGTATATATTTTTTCGTTTAGCTACATCATTTCGTCTTAAAACTTTGTGCCAAGGTGCGTTGCTGCTAGAGCCAGGCATCTCCAGTCTCCCTCTTGCCCACTCTCAGTTTCAGTTCAACTGTATCTTCTAAAATCCTTCCTGAACTAGATTTCAGAGCACGTCCCCAAGGCTGTCTTACACAGTTCATGGGCTCTGGGAAGATTATGATGGATGGGATTGAGCTGCTCCAGATTCCAGTTTGATAGTCTTTGCAGAGATAATCATGTTGGCAGCAACTTGCTTCTAGGGTGTGAACACGAAGGTATGGTGAAACTCTCTCTTTGAACCATTCATTCAAACATTAAAGTTTCACTAGACATAGATCTCAATCATAGTTACTGTATCTAACGTCACAACAATCATTTAGTGCAGGACTCAGCTCGCTGGGAATGACAACCATTACAGGCCAGGACCAGTAGTCCAAACGTAATGTATTGAGGAAAGCAACAAAACAAAAATGACAGTGTATCTACTCAAACTTGGGAGGCTGTAATAATGGCTCATAAAAACAAATGGTCATCTGATATGTATAGGAATTCTTTATTCACGAAGAGTGACGAGCTTGTGAAGCTTATGAGACTGTGTTTATTAACTTCTTTTGTTTTGTTTCGTTTTAAAAGTTTCCCCTGCTCCCTGAAAACTATCAAGCTGATTCTTACACAGTTGCTGTTTATCCTTTTTATTTCTTTCCATTTACAGTCTGAATCTCAAGATGTTGTGCATTGGTCTGAGTTCACAAATTGATTATAATCAAGTGCATTCATGACTCCCAAAAATTAGTAGAAAAGAAATGACTGCACTTGTTTGTAATAAAGTTTTGAGATATCATGTCATAATATAAAAATATAAATAATAATTTTTATCATGAGGCATATATTATAATGGCTGTTTCGAGATTTTGAGTTTTTATTATTCTTTTATGATATTAATTTGTAGAAGATTAAAGAGACTTTTTTATGTGATGCATATTTTAATATTTTATCTATAAAAAAAAGATCCGAATACAGCATATATAGGATATGAAAAACATGTTTTGAATAGTGAAAATGAATCTGTGTTATATAATATGAAAAATATGTAAAAAAAAAATTAATTAGTTCTTAATGGATGTTCACTTATGGTAAATTTGTGAATGCAGAAGGCATTGAATTAAAATTTTGTAGATTGTTTGTTGTTGAAATTGAGCACAATCTATTACTTAAGCATTTTACACAACAAGATATTATGCTTCTGCGTACGTAAACCATAAGTGAAAAATTATAGAATAAACCTTCACTCTTTAAACCCACGCATGCTTTCAATTCAAACAATAAATGTCCTTCAAAAAAAAAAAAAACAAAATGCACACACACACACATACAACTATCGTCCCATTTTAAGATGAAGACATTTATCTACATACAAAAAGTGCGAAAGAACTACTTTAAAAAAATAAAAACAAAATTTGATTCCACATCACCTCAAACTACCAAAACATGGCACATTGCACCCAAAAAATGTTTAAAAGGTTGGTGGTTTGAATCTAAGATGTAAAAATTTGACAGCACTTTAAAAACTTAAAAAAAAAAAAAAAAAAAAAAAAAAAAAAAATCACATGCACTCATACACATACATACCTCTAATACTCTTTAAAAATCTAATTCTTTTTTGAAATCTAACATTTAAGCAAATACATTGTTAAAAAAAAAGAAAAAAAAAAGAAAGAAGAGAAAATAATAAAAATTCCATGAAAATTAAGTATAAAATTAGGGTTTGAAGAAAAATTACACATAAAGTAAATTTGAATAATTGAATATACATAAATTGGTGTGAATAATTAGAAACAAGCACCCACACATCCCCAAGGGCCAACAGCCACGGGTCCAGCTCATGAGCGGGTGCCCGTGCCCCGTCCTTACCCGGCCCGTCCCGTCCAGTTACCCCCTCGTCCACCGTGGAACGGCCGCAGCGCGACGCAGCCCGGGTCGTGGGGAAGCCGGGGCGGGTCACCCGTGCTGTAGTGCCCGGCCCGGGCCTTCGCCCACCACGTTGGGCATGGGCTTAATACGATATCATGCACAAATTAAACTCATTTTTATGGCTGATTAATTCTTTCTTTGAATCAGATTTTACAAGCAGCTACACTAATATTGTACTGCTAGAGTTTGATATGTACCAAGGTTTTGTAAAATACAGAAAAAGTGATAGAGAATGAAGATTAAAAATAAAAAATTGTGTTGTAAATTTCATAAAAGGAAATAGAGTGGGTACCTAAAACCAATTAATCAAATAAAGCACACATGTTGAATCAAAATTTCTGATTTTTTTAATGAAAGAGAACGTGAATGAGAAAACATACAACTTTGTATAATCCTGAGATAAAAAAACATTTATATCTGTACACACTTCACAATTTTTCTCATCTGGGTTGGATTTCATTATAAATATATATATATATATATATATACACACACATGCAAGACAAAAGGAATATATGTATATGTATATGTATATATATATATATATATAACCACACTTAAACACACGTTCATGCATTCATGTACGTACGTGATCAAGGAAAAATACCCATCTCAAGTCAAAAAGAATAAATTGTAAGGCATGAGGAATCCAAACATGTCCCGGATTGAAAAAATTTAAAATAGTAAAAATAAAATGATAATATATATCATGTCTACCGATACAGATAAATAATACAAAATCACGAAGGTTTGGCCAAAGTGTAAAATTATTTCCACTACAAATATCTGTAATTGTTTAACTTCCCCCAACAAAGGCGAATGACATTATCACACTTGATGTTTGCTTTCATTTAATTTTATTACTTAAAAACGAAGAAAAAAGAAATAGGAATCAATCAGTTCCTGGCACACGTTAGCTGTTGATTTGAAATAGTTTAATGAATGTGGCAATTATGGACTTGGTTTTGAAGAGGAGGGGGAGGGTCAACCCATTCTTTTGTTTTTCCTAAAAGAAAATAATAAAAACAATATAAAAAAATTAACAGAATTCATGACCAGTTTGAAAAAGAAAAGGAAAAACAAGTGAAGAATAACACTCAGTAGCCTGTGGGTATTCGAGTTTTTGTTTTTATTTTTATTTTCCATTGTTGTGATTAGTATCATTGTTGCTTCGATTATTCAATCAATTCCCAAAAAAGTTCAAGCTCAAATTAAGATCTTGTGCTTTGTAATTGGTAACTTGTGAAGCAATTAAAAATCTTGTTTATTTATATGTGCATTTGTATATACCTTGCAAAAACATCTCACATGATTTAGCTGGTTAATGTATAGATTAATCAATAAGGAATTAAGAATTGTGGTTTATTCCATCATGCAAACTAACAAATTTGTAATTTTGATTTGAACTGCAAACCTATTTACTGTAGCTAATTGCTGTTATATAGAGGCTTAGGGTTATTGCTACCATAATGTATTCATTTTACTTTGGATACTCTTTGCATTAAACCCTTGTGCATAGCAAAAATAATTCATGTATCTTAGATCATTATCCAAGTAAATGAAAATTCTTGAAAAATAACCTAAACACAAACAAATAGATGGAAATCTAAGCACAAGTGTTTTTCCTCCTATATGCCAATTTCTTCATTGGGGCATCCATGTACCACTCAGATTTATTGAATGAAATGATAACATGAACAAACAGAAAATGAAAAGCAAAGTAAAGCAAAGTTAAAAAAAAAAAAAAAAAAAAGGATTTGAACTCAATTCATTGATTCATCAACTTTTGGGTGATGGAGGTGTGATAAGTCCAACATGTAAAAACACACATCATTTGCCACATTATTCTCTAACATCAATGAGTGGGTAGCCTTTTTAAACTTCTTTTATGTCAGGGTTCTATTCATTTCACATGGTTTTGTGCTTACAAAACTTGGTTTGGCAATCAAGACTCTCATCTCCAAACCCTAAAACCAAATACTTGGCTTTCTCAATGCAAAGGCCCTAAACCCTAATTTTAGCTCAAAGAATACAACAATACAATTGGGGGGGGGGGACTAGAAGGGGGTTAATTCCAACATAGTATGATTGCCAAATAGTGGATGTAAATTCACCTTCCCTTTTATAAAAAAACCAAAAGGAAAGAAAAGTCTTTGGTCCTACAAATGACTTTGTTCTTGCTCTAATTGAGATACTATCTCTCTCCATGAAGTGAGTTTGCTTCTTTGGCAAGCGTTACAGTCATTGCCTTCAAAAAGACTTGAAAAAGATTTATTTCTGTCAAAACCCATGATAAAAGTTGCAGTGTCTCTCTCAAGAACATCATTTTTATACCTTTTGAATTTACATCAAATTATGACCCCATACATATGCTTTATATATATATATATATATATATATATATATGTAGCATTTCCTTTACAATCTTTTAAAAAAAGAGACCATAGTTAAATATGATGTTGTAGTGAAGCAGTAATAAATTATAAATTATATAACTGACTAGTCATACTTTAAGATGAATCAATTCATTTTTTTCAAAAAATAAATAAATCTCATAGCACATATGCATCTTTCCAATTATTGCAATTACTCATGCTGTGTTAGATAACTTAAAAAAACATGCACCTTGAACCAACATGAAGCATGTAAATTTTTTACAGCTATTTTTGTACATGTTTTTTCATGCAAAATTTTTTGAAAATAACTATCTGGAGAAAAAATTGACCTTACAATTTCGCATTACAAAGTGCATTTGTTTGCAAGGCATACCCATATATTAATATATATATATATATATATATATATATATATATATTATTTAAGAAATCAAATATTATATGCGTTCGTATATATTACAAGATGACAAAGTTTCACTTCTGTTGGATTTCTTTATTTCTAAAATTATTGCTGCTTTGTTTGTTTGGTTTTATGATGATTCATGTGATCATTAAAATATTAAAATTAAAGCTGGAGGCTGATGTCCATGGTTTATTAGAGAGGTAGTGGGGATGCTTAAATAACCTTGCAACAAATGCAATCATCCAAAGTATTATTGTGTACTAAAGCAACGAAAAACATCATCTCACCATGGATTCCTTGTTATTTGACACTAAGAACTGAGTTAAACTTGCTATCACAACAGATTTTTTTAGTTACTCAAATCAAATTACACTAAATAAAATAATATATATATATATATATATATATATAATAAGGGAATGTTAAATAGACCTAAGTATTTACTAAGTCAACCTACCCATAATGAAGAATATGGTAATCATGATGAATGTGGTTGGTTTTTATTGGTTTTAGATCCACTAGTAGAGAAATGAATCTACAGGTCTTTTTTTTAAAAGATAGTTAAGATAATTGGGTAAATTTAGTAAAAACGTGAGTCTATTTAACATCCCCCTATACATGTAACAAAAAATATAAATGAAAGTTAAAATTCAATTAGGGTCCAAGTTTTCTAACAAGAGAAACTTTTCTACCCAACAGCACAGTTAAATGTTGGGGAAGGAATATACAAGAATAGTAATGAAAAAAAGGGGGTGAAATAATAATACCAACACATTCCACCAAAATAAAAAGTGAGATGTTAGAAAGGAAAGAGTGGCTTCACTGATGGGCCACGGTGATAAGCCCCACCGCTGCAAGCCACGCATTTGTAGCTGCGAAGGAGAGAAGGGAGTGGATGAGCCTCCCAAGACCGTGTCCGACCCATGGCTGTGGGCCACGGTACCACACTCCGCGGAAATGACCGTGGCCTCGGTCATAGGGGCGTCGGAGTCGCTCAGCGAAGGTGAAGAAAGGGTTGCGCGGTGCTCGCGTCGCCAGCGCTGCGAGGCCAAGAGCGTCGGCCGAACGCGGAACCAGGCTCGGCGACAGCCACTGACGAATCGAAGCCAAGGAGCTTGGTTACTTCATAACCGGAAGGCATCGCGCACAAGAGCCGGCGGCGGGTCCCCTAGAAGACGGTGACGAAGAAGAGTGAGAGGAGAGTTGCACTGAGGATAAGATTTGGATAGTTGCGAGTTGGGCGTTGGGTTATTTTATTTAACCACGGTGTTTAGAACAACATACGGCTGGGATTGACCAAAAGGTATAGTCTAGATTACTCTGAACTGTTTGCTAGCTATACTCCTTTTTGCCTGTCTTTGTTCGTCGGTTTAGTGATCTGGAATGAGGGGCTAGTTAAAATGAACAGCCTTTTCGGCAATTAGACTCCAAGGTGTTCTCGCTTCGAGAGCTCTTACTCAGGGCGTCGTTGGGTACGCTGTAGCGTCGCATTGGTGCTTCGATCGGAGATCGCCTTGATTACATATGAAGCCCTTAATTTTGCAAGTCTCCCGACGTTGAGACCGTCGCTCGAGGCAGATGAAAGGTATTCATTCAACAGCCAGGGTAGGTTCACTTGGTTTGGTTAGTAATTCCAACACTAGCATGGGTGGGACATCCATTTTAAACAAAAGGGTTTGGTTTTAGCTGATTATATCTGTTGTGAGCACCCTTGTGAGCACTATCAGCAATCGACAATCGTTTCTCAGCAGCGTCGTTTTTCGAGTCCGTGGTGAGTAGCACGAAGGTGCAGAGTCTGTGTCCAGCTCTATGTGCGTCGTTAAGGTTTAGCTCAGCTGCTCTAGCAAGATTTCAAATTCTCATGTATGGCTTTCTTTCCTCACTCAGAATTTCACCATCTATTCGTAATACACTTGAGCCAAGCACGAAGTTACCACGCTATTCTAGTTGGAAATTAAGTGGAGTTGTAGGCGTATATGGTTCATCCTGTAGGTTAATGAGGCTCCAGAAAGTTAAGATCGTTTTTTTCATATACTTTTTCGAGCATTTAAACTATAAGAATATTATTAAATTACTTATTTAAAATAGAATTGAAATATTTAAGAGATTCATTGTTTGAGTTGGTGGTTGAATCAGTAGCTGCGGCTGCAGCTGAGTTTGGCCTTGAATCCGCGACGAGAGCAAGCAGCATCAAAGACCAAGTGCAGTTATCGGAGCAGCTTGATCGCTGGCTCAATTGAACGCTGAGCTAAAACAAGACATTGTATCGGAAAGCTGTCCAACATGAAACCTTCTGGTTGATGCAAGTGCAACAAACTTGGTGAGCGCCATGACTTGTGCTGGCTTGTCCGGCCACATACATGTTGTAGACGGCCTCATCGAGGGTTCTAGCTCTCCTCCAGCACTAGGTGCAGCTTTTGTGGGAGCATTATCAGGTCTTCAGAAAGACATCGTTGATTATGTGGTCCGCGCTGCTGACAGAGATGGACTTGATAAATGCCTTCTCATGAGCGCAGCTCGAATTTGGAGTTGTAGCACTCTGGAGGACGTTGAATTCTTACTCTATGCTATTCAGAGCTTGACTAATGCTGGAGCTGTAAGCTTCCAAAAAGCTTTGCAACTGAGTTGTGGCGACGCTGTCATCGAACACTGGAATGGCCTCATTTTCATGGAAAAAGCTAGCATTCTTCAGAGACTAGTGGATTTGGGGATTAGCCATCTGACTCCAGATTTCTTCGGGCGGATCCTCTTGATGACTTGTGTGACCTTCCTATTCAAGTTACTCCAGTCCCAGAAGAAGGTTAGTCGAAGTCAGTTGGAGTCAACGAAACTGCACCTCAAATCTGGAGAGGATCTAAGATGCGAAGCGATTGTGCAGGATATGATCAATCTCCTGTCAGTCTTATGTAAGAACGAGGGAGCTAACGTCTTCAGCAGTCAACTACTGAATGTTACCTTCGGAAGACTTGAAGATGTCGGGCGTTTGCTGCACGTTTCGAATTTACCTATGGAAAACAACTACGCCGAGTGGCCACTGAGGATGATTAAATTTTTACTTACTGACTGTGGCATCAAGGATTTGAGTGACACAGTTACCACGCTCGCTGCGTTTCAGGCAGCCCGACTAAACATTCTGCTTCCTGTCGTGCAGCTCTTCATCGAACTTCAATGCTTCGAGGCTGTGTACGTTTATCTGGATTTGTCCATAACATTTTGTCAAATGGATGCAATCCGTTACCTTCTCGGTGTCGTATCCCAGCCAGTCGACACAGCACGTTTGATTCAGGCCGTGCGTCTGGCGGCCTCGAATAGGAGGGGCCCGCCCCGTGGGCCACAAGGGGTCCTGTGTGCCCTTCATTCAAACTTTTTGAGGGATAAGGACTACACCTTGACAGAGGCCGTTATGTTAGCGGAATTGCCTGAAACAGATCCATCGGTAAAAATGGCTTTAAAAACGGAGTGGTCACCGAAAGCTTTCGAAGCAGGGGTGCAGGCTGGAGAGAACCATTTTTTGAGCTTTATGCTTGTTAAGAAGCATGCGAGGTCGCCATTGCGTGTGGGTGAGTTGCCATTAGATTTGCAAGCAGCAATTGGGTATCTTCCTTTGTACAAGGACTGTTGGAATACTCCTGGCAGTCTTTTATCGCAAAGGCAACGAGGGGAGTTAATTGCAGCTTTGCGACGAATAGATCACGGGGGTGGAAGCCTTTCTGAATCAGAGCTTCTGAATGCCGAAAAGCCAATGCTGTTGAGCCGCCTAGCAGCCTTTCTTCCAGCTTGGTGCTCTGCGACAGCCTTTCAGTCATGCTGTTCCTCTTGAGATCGAGCGAGACCTAAGTCCAGCAATGGATGACACTCTTTATACCGAACATGGTTTACCGTTGAGGAGGCTATTTTTCTCGGTGACAAGACTTCACCACGTACTCTTGGAGTTGATACGGGAGGTTCTCTTTCCACTGCGTATCAAAATCATGTTTTATTTAGCGAGCAATGTCTAAGATCTGGTCTTTCATTTCTCGCGATTACAGACTACAAGGGGTTTCTGCTTGTGCTGAACATGAGGATGTTATTGATGCATATGTATATATATATATATATATATATATGTATGTATATATGTATATATATATATATATGTATGTATATATGCAAACTCGAATGATTATCGCATGCTGAACCCAGCCTTTATCAAAGCATTGTGGATTTCAACGTCCAATTATTGATGAAACTTAGTGACACATCTGACAGAATGTGTATCAGCATGCGATTAATGAAAATGCCAGTTCTAGTCAAAGCTTTTCAACTGCTGCCAAGTGATAAACCTCGGAACTTAAACATTATCTTCCACTTCTGATTGCTTGTTAGATTTTCTACCGTCGACTCATGAATCCGTGAGCTTCTGAGTGGGTATCTTCCTGTCTAAATTACGATGTCTAACGTCATGTGTGTATTGATGAATCTCATGTAAATGTCGTTGGATACGTCTCACATCGATTTCTCCTTGCAGGCAGTGATGTTATCGATGCACTCTCTTGCTGATTTCGCTCATGGTCGCGAGCTTCCTTGTACAATACCCTGATTGTACAACAGGCAGTGAAGTTCTATCCTTTTGAGTATATGTTGGAGAGAGAAAACCCACCACCATCATATCTTCCCTACTGCTTGGCATAACTTGGACTGTCAGAACAGATACTAAAGTTGATCTCTTCCCGCTCGTTAAGTGTAGACCTACATTACCTAGTACGCTTGCAATGAATATGGGTCAGGTGCATAGACATTCTCAAGCTTCAGTCTGGGTTTCGGCTATCAGGGATACAGGTCAAATGAAGTACCCAGAAGACGTGCGTTCTCCACTGCAAACTAGAGAATTAGCATCAAACCCTCGCAGACAGAATCACAAAATCAAGTCGACGTCCTGAAGTCGTATCATTGCAGCACTCCGAAGTTTCCACGGATTATACGAAGTTCAAATCGTAGTACCCAGTTCGAGCCGTGGAGGTAGTGCATGAATCTCTAAACCACGAACAAAAGTAGTGAAGGATACAGTAAATGACTGTAAAGCATCATCTCTGGTTCTATTCACTATATACAGCTACGGCTGCACTGGGTTCTCTGCGAACAAGCATTTCCGAGCACAATGTTGCAGACCAAAACGATAGACAAGAGCAAAATCAGACGATGCTTCTGCCTCCCCTCCATCAGATGGAAACCGAGTAGAAAGTTTGATGACCTGTACAAACTGGAACTGCGGAAGACTACAAACTCAGCATTCAAAAAATATGGCATAATTTAACGTGCTACTGATGTGGAGCCAGAGTTCTCCGCACACTTCTTATTCTGAACGCATCACAACAATGAGTGATCATAAAAATCATGCATAAAGAAAACTTACCATTTCCGTAAACATCACAATAGGATGTAAAGAATTAAAAAATTAGAAAAAATTTAGAAAAATGAAAAAAGAGTTAATAAAATGGTATCATAAGATTGAATTGGAGGATGTGATAGAAAACAATACTAGTTGCAATTTCAAATTGAGAAGAAAGAATTGATGTGATAAACCACTTCGTAGAAATGTTTTTAAATAATGTTTTCATTACTATTTAACTAAAAAGGGAGCAATCTCAAGTATACATCTTCTTATTTGTAAAAGTGTAATTTTGATACTAAAAACATAAACAATGTATTTTTGAAAATCTTTAAAAAATTTAGAAATATGAAAAATATTTTTATTTTTATAGTTGTGAGGTGAAATCAAAGAGGAATATGTTATAGCTTTGACATGATATTTTGACAACATAGTATAGAATAAATCATTTCTTTGGAAGCCCAAATAATAAAAACGTATATTTTATAGAAACTTTATAATTTTATACTACAAATTTTTTTATCACATTAATATCTAAGTATTTGATTCAATAAGAAATTAATATTGTTTTTCAATAATTCAAATTTAAATATATGTCTAATTATATGTATTTATTTATATCAAATAAGTAATCTATTAAAAAAAAATTATCGTAAATAAGTTATTTTAGATTAATATAACTGCATTAATGAAGCAATTAACTCTATAGGATCTATAAATATATTTTTAAATATAAAATCAACTTAAAATATATATAATCCAAAATAATAATAATAAAAAATGAAGTATATCAAATTTATTTTTTAAAATAATTTATCAAAAAATTACCATATTTTTATAATAAACTTATAAACTATATGAAACCTTTAAGTTGCCTTCTACCATCTATTTGTAATGCCACGCATATGCAATACAATATCAAATTTTTATTTACTATCATTACTTCTTTTCTTTTTTTTTTCATGCATAACCAAGCCTTCATTGTTCCAAAATTCTAATTTTTTTATTTAAATTCATATTAGATATTATTTTTAGCTTTGTAAAAAAATTAATATTATACATATAGAGTAAATTATTAGAATTATTTTCAGTAAGATATTTTTTGAAATTCTAATAGAGTATCTTTGCAACCCTCATAGTATGTATTTGTTTAGCTTAAATACAAACTATGATTTCGTGCAAAGATAAATGAGCAAAATAAACATATATTTTTTATATATAATATTTAATATCACTTTTATAATAATTTTGATGTGGAAGCAAATCTAAGAGACATATAAAAACAAATGAGCAACAAAAAGACTATTAAAAAAACTTATTAAGTTGAGTATTTTTAAAATTTTACAATAATAAATAATTTTATTTTTAAAAAATCATTCATTTTTAATCTTAATGCTTTGCAAATTTTATTTGAAATATCTTGCATTATTATTTTTAGCCAACTAAGCTCTTTTTTAAAAAAAATATTAAGTCTATTAAAAATAAAAATAAATCTAATTTTTTTTATAAAAAAATTATCATTAAAATTTAATTACATGCACAAATAACAAAAATAATCTATTGTGTATAGAACTAAGCTTAGATAAATTTTTAAATTAGTACAAAAATATCAACTTTCTATTGCACATATGTACATAAAATGTTCTTTCAATAAAAACTTTATTGCTATTATTAATACCAAAGAAATATTTGGCATTATAATTCTTATTAAAATTAACTCAAATTATATTTCTACTTTTATTTATATTTTGTATGTAATAAATTTGATACATTCTTATAACTCTTCCAATCTTTGTTCTTGTTTAATGTTATACATGGTAATGCTCCATACAAAAGATTGTCTTATTTTTATTTTAATAATTTATATAATATAGTGACACTTTTTTGGTGCTTATATACGCAAAATAATGTATATACTTGCTTTTTGTGGACTTAAATTACTAATTTTATATTATATCAAAAAGATTATTTTATCTTATCTAATATGGTGGCTAATATAAGATTATTTTATCTTATCTAATATGGTGGCTAATATAAGATTATTTTATCTTATCTAATATAGTGGCCATTCTTATATTTACATAATGCTAATAATTTCAATATTATAAAAGATGATGGATTTATTCTAAAATGCTTTAATATAAATAATAATAATAATAATAATAATAATAATCTTAGTCATAAAATGTTTTATTTTTATATTTTATTGTTAGAAAGTATGTGTATTTATTAGTCAATGAAATCTTATCTATTTTCATTTATTGCAAAAATTACAACAATGCAACTTTTAGTGAATTGAAACCTATTGTTTTTGTTAAAGTTGATACTTATTAGTAGTATTTGATTTTTTGCATTTATTACTAATCAAATAACAATTTTTTTAACATAAGTTCACCAAACACCAAAGACAAGATTTACCAAGTTAAGTTGGAATCCTTAGTATTTTTTGATACTTTAGACACTAATTAAAACTATACTTAGAAGTTGTTTGTTCAAAGATGTTTGGTTACATTTGACTTAGTCAGATTGCTTTGACATGCTTTATAGCAGGTTTACTAATATATTTTAAAACAATATAACAATAAAAGAAAACTTCTTATAAGTAGTGTCTAAAAGTACTAGTTTTTTTAGTCATTTAATAGTAATATTCCTTAAAAACATCTTCCAATATAAGGGGTACGAGAATATCCAACCTACAATCATTACAACATAGTTAAAAAAAAATGACAATACTAGAATTTCTATTTGTAGTTAAGAACTAACAACATTTTAAATTTGTGATATTACCTCTAAATAATTTTTATAATATTCTTGACATATAGGCCAAAATTTAGATGCATATAGAATTTGATATAGCTTTATTTTATATATGTGATTTATCTATTTAGCCATAGCTACAAATTTATGAAGGCTATATATGATTACAAATATATGATTATTTATATTATTAACATTAATTTTTGAATATAATTAAAATCACATTTTTGATAACTATATAGATTCTTTAAAAGTTTATTAGATAGTCTATTAATTTCTAATATATCTTTTTAAGGTGCAAAATCGTATCTAAAATAGTATATATTAACTTCAGTAAATTTTACATATTTTTTATCTATAAAAGAATAAAAATTTATATTATTAATAAAATTAGAATATAAACTTATCAAAAAGAATATACTTTGATTTTAAAATAGCATTTATAATTTATTTTATTTTTTAAAACCAAAGTGTATTCACTATTTTTTTTATCATTATAATTTTTTTACTAAATAATATATATATATATATAGATTATTTATATAAGATATATCAATAGCTATAGCAAAGTTAATTAGTAAATTTAGATACAAAAAATAATGATAATAAATTTTAAAACTCCTTTTTGTAATTTGAAGTAAAAGATTTTGATTAAACATATAATATTATGTTATTTAAAAAATATTTATAAACATAATTATAAAAAAAACTCAAATTTAAAATGTAAATTTTTGCAATAAATATAAGACAAAAGAAACATTTTTATCATATATAAACATAATGAAATGTTAACTAATTTAATTATTTTAATCTAAATATTTATTTTTTAAATAAAATAAATAGAATTTTTTGTCAATTAGGTTTTTTAAAAATAATTTATTTAATATTTTTCACAAATATTATAATCTATTAGGTAAGGAAAATTAAATCCATATAGATTTTAATGTATTATGATTGGTTTTATATATCAATTCCAATAAAAACTTGCATATACCATTAATAATATAGTTGTCATATATTACATATATTACTAATTGTTACTTAATTACAGATAATTCTAATATGAAAATTTATAATATATTTATTTTAAATTAATCATAATTTAATAATAATCAATAGATTTATTAAATATTAATTAAATAAATAAGATATTATTATATACTATTATTAAAACACTCATATATGGTATTTTATATTTTTTAGATTAATTATTTAACTTATACATTCTAAAAGCATGTATTATCACAAGTTATAGACATCAAATTTAAATAATACATTCTCTTGTATTGAGATATTAAAAAAATTGATTAAATAAAAAAGAGTATTAAATCAATCCAATCAAGTCTCAAATTGACTTATTAATAAAATGATACTAAAAAGTTTTCTAAAACTACAAGTTTGGAAGATAAAATAAATACTTTAAAGGCCAAAATTTGTGATAAGTTTTATTGAGATTGAAAATTATAGACACAAATAGGTTGCAATGAAAAAACCAAAGTTTGAATAGTCACACACACATTGTGCAATTGAACCAAGCATTTAATCAAAAAACAATAAAGGTGTTGATTGGAGGTGGAGTTGGACTTATACAACAACCTAAGAATCCTCAATACAACCATGATCAATAATAGTGAGCACTTCCAAAAATGTTTCATAAAGAGATTGAAGCTTCAACTAAGGATTTTTTCCTTGATAAAGGTTTATAATTGAAGTGTTGTTGAAGAATTGGATCTATTTCTGGAGGTTTAATAAAAGTTGGGCATTGCATTGACAATTACAACAAGCAATAGCCAACAATATTTTAGTAGAGTAGATTTAGTGAAATAGGCAGATTGATCTAAAATTAACTTGGTTTGATTTAATATTCTCCTAAAAATATCACCTTTTATACCATTAAAATAAATAAGAATAATAAGAAGAAAAGAAAAATATGCAACAATTATGTCTTAAAGATTCATGAAAACTAATCTTTAATAGAATTAACATTTAATTACTTTAACCTACATGATGAAACAAAACAAAAAAAAAATACTAATTAGAACCAAGTAAGCATTGTATCTAAACAATACAAAAATAGAATCGTTTTACACAAAACATCTTATTAAGCAACAAAAAAAAAACTTTAGACATTCATCCCCCCCCCCCAGCACTTTTTTAAGTACACAATTTAATCCTCCATATTGTATCAATTCTAGTCTCAAAGTCCACATATACAGTCAAGAGTTCGGTGACAGTAACAAAAAGGAAACAAATAAACTACAAGGAGAAGCAAACACAACAATAATCTCCCCACAGCCATGTGCTATCACCACACTCTGTTTATGTGTTAAAAAGATTCTTCCCTCCTTACCAACCCACTGATCCCCACAATTGTAGCAACGCAATAGCCTTCACAGTTAAGACGATCTAGAGGAACAGACACATGCGGCATGAAAGTAGTTGTCCCACCGGGAACTCTGCAATTGCACGAGGGACAGAAATGAATGTGTTGTTTTTGTTCTCCTCGAGAATCTGCCATCTCTGCAAACAAATCCATGGCAACGTTGTTCGCAGCCTCTCCTCTTCTGCTTCTTGTTGGGCGCTTGCGTTTGTCGTCTGGTTGTCGATGAGGTGGTGGATGCTGTGCACTCCAGAGAGAGCAGAGAGCATGGAGTTGTACATGTGAAGAAGCAGGAGGAGAAGAAGAGGGAGAAACTCACAAGTTTTGTTGTTGTTGTTTTTTTTGTTTTTTTGTTTTTTTTTTTTTTTTTAAAGTGTTTTTTTTTGTTTGCCTGGCCGGAGTGCTTTTGAGGTCCACCCACCTGCACTGCAATGCACCGCACCTGGCGAGGTTGTGTTGAGAATGGGTCCGCCTGCACTGGCACCGGAGCAGTGCTTCTGGAGGTGCGACGTGGGGCAGCACAGCGTGATTGGAATTCATGGTTGCTGTGAGGCATTGGTGAGTGGACAGTGCTTCCCTGAGTTTCTCTCATGTAGAGGACGGAGTTGCTTCTTTGAATTGCTCCTTGGCAGGAAGTGAGTCCTTGCGACCAAGCTCACACATGCTCACTCGCCTTGACAGTCTCTTTCATGAGAGATAGGTAACAATACTCTTTCTCCCTCTTGAGCCCACCGATCGGCCTTGGGGTTAAAGCTTCTGCTTGTTGCAAGCCTTGCTTGTCAGCGAGGTCTTCGTGCGCACCCTCTTTAGTACGTTTTCTTTGGATGTGTAACGAACTCTTAACAAACTTTGTTTCAACCGTACAAAAAGAAAGAATTTTCAGATGTCGGCCTTCGTCGTAGATTGAAATATTTGTACTTCCGATGCCAATATGATTATCATTCCAGTCTTGTGTTATCCACTCTCCTCTTGGTAAAATAAGGGGGGAAAAAAATTAAGTGAAAAATTATAACCATAGCTAGCAGGGTTTCAGCCACAGTGTGGTGGTGTGTTGAACAGTGGACGATCAAGCTATGCAAGCGTTAATTGAAGATGTCTGCAAGACTTGCGTTGACATTGAAACTAGCTCTCAACGGAAGTTTCTGCTCCAGTTCTTTAGGGTAGAGTGGTGGTGCTTTGAAACTTTCGTTTGAAGGTGGATGATGATAGATATCACAGCGAGTGTTGTCAATATGTTTTGAATCGGATTAGCTTGAATCCGCAGATATATATATATATATATATATATGTAAATGCAACAAGGGACCTGTTGACTGCAGGGAACTGGATGTTTTTATCAAACAGCTGTTCGGGGGTCAGAGAGAACTAGATTACAATGAAAGCTTGTGAGCAGAGAGATTCTGGAAGGTTTGCAGGTTGTTTTTGAAACATGGGTGATGTGCTCATGTTTCTGGCGAGGTTTTCAACTTTACGTTGGGGATACCACTACATCCTCTCTTTTTATGCTGCTGGGAAGAGTCTTGAGATTTCGAGGATAAGGTAATAAGTTGGATAGCAGTTATTTTCCTCGTAAAAATGTATATATTCCACTCATCCTCTCGTAAATCTTTAGATACACGTGAACAGAATTTTAAAGTTTCATTACGTGAGGCGCATCTTCACGCGACTTTCTAATCTCGTTCTCTCGTGCAGCATTTTTGAAGCGGCAACTGTTTGTGCCACAGATTTCATAAACCTACAAGCGTCTTTGCTTACTGAAGGGTGAACTGTGTGATAAAAAGCTTTGTTTAGTGCGAAGTGTGACTTGATGAGAGGCGGTTCAACTTACTCGGAAGCATGCAGAAATGTTACAGGAATAACCAGTCCGCAGCTCGCCTAAATCTGTTTAGGCAACAGTGACATCAGTAGCGCAGCACATCACATTCGGGAGAACTAATTATGGCACTTCGATGTTTAGATCAGCGGATTGAAATGGTGGATGAGCCAAGAAATGAATGCAGCTCACTTGCGTTCTGTATATCACTTTGTACACCAAATCACCTCAAATGTCAGGTACCCATGCAGTATACATCCGGTACACTTCCAGTACTTTCAGTGTCATAGCAGTATCCTCTAAATTGCATCATTCTCCATGCTGTGGTTGTGCAACTTTTTCTGGGAGTCGGATTCTTGAATAGAAACACATTCTTCAAATACATAGATATTTATTTTGAAATTTTTGAAACAGCCTCGTCTCTCTGGAGATCTAAATAGGAAATTGAGTAAACATGATCTATAAGCACAAGCTACGAGGAAGAACTCTTGGTGGCAGTTTTATCAATTTCGTGACAATGAAATAGATTTCCGATCTCAAGCTGCGGAAGATTTGTTGATAAGTGTAGTAAAGTTGATTGGATGTAATTGCATGAATTCTGCCTAATTTGCAATTTCATCTTGTACATGGTCGTCTCTACGTGAAATTCAGTTGTAACATGGCATTCATTTTGTGACATTTCTCAATTCTGATAACTCAGGTTGAGGTTAAACCTACATTGGTTAGCTACTTTGCATTGTGGGTTTGAGCCCAACCCCACTATCAAGTAGCCTTGTGTAAACCCTAAATCCATATATTCGAAGTATATGTCAGACTGCCGAGTGGGAATTTCTCATTCAATTCATGAAGGCAAAATTTAAAATAAAATAAAAGCTGAACCTCAAATTGTCCGACAATATCGAGGTAAGAGCTGGTGATACTATTAATTAAAAGAGCTGTGCAAAGCGTTACACAATATATACACAAGGTAGGCAGTGATATTAGCTCGAGTTCCTCGGAAGTGTACCTAAACATGACCATGCATCTCTCACTGCATCTTAGCATCGATCTAACTGCAGGGATTACTTTCTCAGACATTACAAAAACATCTTCTCTAATAAGTTTGAAGACAAATAGTCTCCTACACACCCCTCTACAAAAATGAAACGCCCTTCTTTTTTAAGTACAAATTCGATGGAATTATGCACTTTCGAAAACCAACACTATCACAATGACCAATCAAAAAGTTAACCACTCTACAACGAACACCAAAATGAACTGGCTGTCGTAAGACGCGCTCTAGTCAAGCGGCTCTACAATCCATCCTTACAATTTGCAGATTCCCCACGGTATAAGCTTCAGCAAGCTGAGGAACACCCGGTTGAGTGTAAAGCATATGATACACATTCCCAATTTCCAGAGAAACCCCAGACTTGACATGCAATTCACACCTTCAGCATAGAATTTTTAACTTAAGGCAGAGAGCTGCGAGGTGCAGGAAGTCTGGGCCAACAATCCCAACCTTGAATCTGGCTCCTCTTTGCTGAGATACGGTAGCAGACAACTACCATGCTCAGCATCTTCCACTATCACAAAGGGTGAAGCAGCTTAAACAAAAGCATCCCCAGGAACATAATGTACTCACAAGTATTACTGTTCTGCATGATTCACAATCACGATGTTACACAAACCAAAGTGACCGATCTGTTCCCCGCTTGGAAATCTTCTCTTCAAGAAGCGCGTCGGATGACATTCCCATTAACGGGACTATCCAAGCCGTCCACGCACAGGTGGACTCCTCTGCACCTTTCGTGCAGGATAAGAACTATCTTTGTAGACATAAGAGAGAACCAAGAACATCACGGATGTTGCAACAATCGCCGAGAATCGGCTCACTACAAGAAACGTCAATGCGACAAGGAGTCCCACAGTCAACAAGAGTTCGAAATTTTTTACTTTGACGTCAAAGACCCCTGAAGAGGAGCTTGAGGTGATGTCCGCACTTGATGCAGGATCCATAGCTTTCGACGAGGACATCCTGCCCAATGGGGATTTTCGGATAACGCTTGATTTGCTTATACTGGGCTCAGGCGTCTTGTCCTTCCGAAAGCTGCATTTTTTGGCCATTATGCATCGCCTCTTCGACGATAGGTTTCCATCAGAGAAGACTTCGTCAGTTGGCCAGCCACTTGAATCCTCCAAAAGCTCTTTCTCCTTATCTCTTCGTGAGAAGAAACTTCTGGAATGCCTCCTGGAGCTTAAACCCCCAGATGTGATGCAGGAATCTGATAGAGGACTACCAGGGGCACTTGATGCAGGAGGAGAAGATCTTGAAGCTTTTGACTTCAACTTTGAGGATAGTTTCTTCACAAAACGGCGGGTCGGGCTTGACGTCTCTCTGTCTGGTGAGGACGCAGGAGTAAGAAAACTGGTGGATACTTTGATCAATGGCCGAGGACTGTCATCAGAAGCTTCTGCTCTCGGGAGTATTGCTGAAGCTGGACAGTTATCCACTGGTGATAGGGGAGAAGAAGAGCTTTCAAGAGCAACAGGCAATGTAACGCCCAAACATTCATCGTAATCACTCTTAATCTCAGGCTTGGGAAGCTCTCCTGTCTGCCCTTCAGAATTTTTAGAATTTGCGCCTGGTTCTGTCGACGTCTTGCGGCTAACCAGGGGCAGCAAGGTCAGTCCTCTTGGTACACGAATGGAGAAATAGGGTACAATATGTCTTGAAACCAAAGACCGTAACAATTGAGCATAAGTCTTTCCTTTTTGCAATCTGACCATGACACTGAGGATCAATAGCTCTACAACAGAATTTCCTAACTTCGTTACCCGTCCTCCTAAACAAGCACCCAACGCAACCAGCAAAGCAAAGACTGAACTTGGTGACCGTGCCCATCCTTTCTCTAGCATCAAAAGCTGCCCATTCCTGATAAGTCTTTCAGATCTTTCTGGCAAACTTGCACTACCGGCTATTCTCCCGGAGCAACCGGCCTTTTCTTCCACGTCCAGACCTCCGCAGGAAGCCCTTCTTTCCTCTGACTTCTCAGCATCTTCTAAAGAAATTGGAGTAGAAGCAGTCTCCTCCTTCAAATCCCCAATTATCAACGCCTCGGGTCCAAACCCAAATCCATAGGACCCGTCCTGCGTCTCATGCCGAGGGTCTGGAAAAGAGAAGCTCTGAGAGAAATCGATGGTTTCAATTTCGACCCTCTCCTTCAAATGAGGGTTTGATGGTGACGAGGTTTGTTGCAACAAGAGCGCAGACGCTTTGGGAGATTCCCTCTCTCGGCACCTACTTGCCGTTCGGGCCAAGGTTGTGGCTGTCCACTCCTGAGCGGATCGGGACAAGTACCTGGCCGCGGACACCGAGTTCCCAGTCTTGTCTACTAAAGATGCTTTCTTCGCTTGCAACTCAGACATCAAGACAGCAAATTTCTCCAGTCCTTGCGACGCGAATGGGTTAACCTTCTGCTTCTTCTTTGTCGTCTTCTTTGCGGCACTTCCGATCTTCTTCTTGAGCTTCGGCCATAGTGATAGCTTGGACCCGGACGAAATTTCCGCCATTTTCCAGTATTACAGAGTTTCCTTCTCGGATCATGAGATGGATCTGTGCATTTCACAAGTGCTAAAAACGGAGCTCACCCACGGCGATTGCTACAAAACTAATGCCTGAATTTAAGACGTGGGATTGGCTGGCCTTCGTCGTTCGTACAATTGCACCTTCTCCATATGAAGACCGACAACGATACCTTCGAGTTTTCCTAGGCACAACTCTCCGACAGGAAGATCCTTCCTCGAAATGAATTTCCAGTCTAGCAACTGAGACGAGCTTAAAACTCCAACCCTAATATAGGAGAAAGAAAAATCTGGATGAAAATCAGCTCAGTCTCACAATTCTGCGACTGCAAAAGGTGCCACAAACTTGAAGAGAGGTAGACTTTCCGAACAACCAGATCGAAGCGAATTTGATTTGGAATGAGACATTTATCAAACTCACGATAGAAAACATCTACCACAACTGGTTCTTGATCCAAACAGCGAAAACCTTTCTCTCACGAGCGACAACGTTAAAGACGCATTCAACTCAGCGCTGCAGGAACTCTTTGAGATTCTTCTCACACGGTGAATCAATACCCACGACGCATTCACCCAACAGCGACAACTATTGAAACTTTCCGCAAACCACCGTCCTCCCAAGTAAACCTCAGAGTCGGCACTCGGAACTATGCATCTCCTTCCGCTTCACACTCCCCTGAATTCAATCGCCGACCTCAAACATCACCCTAGATGCCGACTGGTGCCCCAACAAACTGCAGGCTCGACACTCCATCCCGATCTCTCACCGTGTCAAGCCCCCAGGTCCAATTCCCACGCAACGCAGCCCTTTGCGAAGAAACCACCTACTCGATTGCCCTCTCACTTTCTCGTCTCTTTCTCTCTCTGTGTGCTTTGCAACCAGGTTATGGACTGCTGACACCGCAAACACCATGGCCCACCGTCGCCCACCACCTCATTGGTTGTGCCGCACCAGACGAAGAGAAGAAAGCAAGCAAATCCTCGCCGAACATGACGAATGATGAGGCAGTAGGTGAACACGGAAACATCATGTGATCAACATACCCCCGTTTTTCTTCCCCCACAATGCACCCAAATTTCAACTGTGATAAATTAATTAATAAAAAAAAAACAAAAAACACAAAACACAAAAGGAAGGAGGGTGGGCGGAGGAAGACAACAACCAGGAGGAATAATACACAAAAAAACAAACACACAGAACTGGTCTTGTCCTGTCAGCGATCTAGTTGCGTCTGTCACCACCATCTTCCACTCCGCACTGCCGAAGACAAACAAGACCCTACTTAGTGGCCCCCGTTTTGCCTCCAAATTTGTCTGAGTCATCCTCCTCTCGATTTGTTGTGTTATTTTTAAAATTGGGCATGATTTTCGACACGACGATTTCCGAACCTCCCATTGCGATTACTCGCCCGATTCCACCAACGCCGTGTCGCCGCCGCCGTCGCCGTCGTCATCGTCGTCATTTGTATCGTGATTGTTGACTTCAGCTGTGAAACCCTAATTTGAAGCTTCATTTTGCAAAGAAAATGGTACAGATGTGTGTTTTTCTTTCGCCTTTTGTTTTGTAGTGGATGGCAATGTCATAACAAGTCCTCAAAAGGAAAGATCCTGTGCTTTTGTTATATCTTAAGACAGCACAGAAAATGGATGGCAAATTTACTTTTTAATGGGGAGATGTGTGTTTTGTTTTAGTCTGCAAAAAATACCCATGAAGTTGATGATTTCGATTCAAACGTCAAATTCTTTCAAATGGGTTTTTTTTTCTTGTATACAATGAACCATTCTCATACCAGTAATGCCACGTTTTCAAATGTATACAGTGTTTACAGTGCTTCAGTGTTCGCCAGGTGAACCTTAAATAAAATTTTACAAAAATGCATAGAATATCGTTTTTTCTGAAGAAGCGTATCGAGCATTCATTCCTGCCTTAAAATTCTCCCACATGTTTAGTGACTCACTCACACACCACTATTTTGCTTATTCCTATTCATGGTA